TTTGTCACCGTGCCAGAGCTACAGTAGATGTCGGAGGCCTTTGAAAGTCGCAGGATATTATTAGGTCATTAGTAGCTACAATTTGTATATCTCGGAATTTTGATATCGGTGACCTAAGGTCAGGTCAATTTCGCGACCTCCCCATTATAAGTCAATGGGGGAAAAATCAACTCCCTGTTTTTACCACTAAAACGGGTCGGAGTGGCCCCATATACCATACATGACTTCATATACGATCAACCTTCACTACCTTGAGGTCTGTTTTGCTGTTGGGCAGCTGTGAGGTCATGTGACGTCATCAAAGGTCACCAAAGGTTTTTGGCCAATAACTCCGTACAGGAACAAGATACAGACGCGTGGATGGTCTCATTGTGTTCAGCTCGTCAAGACGCATCGAATGATATACATGATGACCTCGAGGTCACGTGACCTGAGGTCAACCTTTGACCTTGACCTTTCGAGGTCAACATATATATCATTCGATGCGGATTGACGAGAGGATCACGATGATGCCCTTAGTTTGTTCCTATCTTGGCTAATCCGAAAGTTATTCGAGAAAAACTCTCTCCATATCTAGCGCCGCCATTTTGACTTTTTCGACCCCTGTGACGTCATGTTTGACCTGACCTGAAAATGACCTTTGTAAAAATTGTAGATCTTGGCCGTGCGTATCCGATGCCGTTTACCGCTTGTCGCTATCTTGCTTCGTTCTCAAGATCTCAGGGGGGGGCGGTCATCCGCCCCCCCCCCCCCCCGTCGGTGCGAAGTTGGCGCAGACCCCCGTCGGTGCGCGGGTTAAGGGCAGAATGGCTGCCTTTATAAGTAATTTCTTGGAAAACAGAACCTTCAAAGTAAGAATAGGCAACATATGCTCACCCACACGCAAAATGGACCACGGAGTCCCACAGGGGAGTCCGCTCTCCCCGACACTCTTCCTTATTTTCATCAATGATATATTTAATAACATAAGTCAAACAGCCCACAACGTAGAATATTCAATGTATGCCGACGACCTGGCCCTCTGGGCCACCCATCACAGTGTCGATACGGCTCACAATCGCATCCAAATAGCCCTTAATGACGTGAACTCCTGGTGCAAACGATGGGGAGTCGTTATAGCACCAACAAAATCGGCCACTATGACATTTTCAAAACAATCCAAACATATTAACCCGCGCATTCGTACACAATTGCAAGGCCAAATAATACCGACAGTAAATATCTTCAAATATCTAGGAGTAACTCTCGATAGGAGACTTACCTTCAATGCACACATTAAAGACATCTCATCAAGATGCACACGTAGACGCAACGTACTGAAAGCTATCGCCGGCACAGATTGGGGCGCCGACAGACGCACACTTACACACCTATATACATCCCTGATTCGATCGGTCCTGGATTATAATGCCTTTCTATTTACCAATATATCCACTACTCTCAGCAACAAACTGGAGAGTATCCAAAACTCTGCTCTACGCACCATCACAGGCGGTCTCCGCACATCTCCAACAATGAATCTCCAAGCTGACGCCAATATTCCTTCACTAGAACGTCGCCGGGAATATCAACTTCTCCGCTTCTACATAAAATCTCTAGCGAAACCAAACACAATAAAATACAACATAATGACGAACCTTCCAGAAAATAATATAATAACACATAGAGAATACGGGTACCCTACAATAAGAAGACACATAAAAAAATATTCTAAGGGACTACAAGATAACCCCACACGAGGTAACACCTACCCCACCTCTTAGTCCATTCTGGACACAAAATCACATAGAAACAATGCTTCTTTTCGACGACACCAAACGTGAGATCTCCAATCAAGAAATGCATAGCCTCTTTCTCCAATTTAAATACGATTATCCAGACCACAAATTCATTTATACGGACGGCTCCTGCGCCGACGGGAAAACAGGCGCCGCCTTCTGCATCGACGGTTTCACCCAATCATTCCGCCTCTCCAATCATCATTCTGTTTTCTCCGCCGAACTATACGCAATCAAGGCTTCACTTCACCACATTGCCAATCGAAGCATCGACAAAATCATGATATGTACCGACTCGAGGGCAGCGGTACAATCACTCCACACACTACACAACTCATCAAACCCTATCATCCACGACATCAGGAAACAAATTAACTCACTAATAACTCAAAATCGAAATCGCGAAATCAAGGTCACATGGATACCGGGTCATGCAGGCATCACGGGCAACGAGCGAGCGGACCGAGCCGCCAAGAAAAGTCTCCAGGACCCTCCAAACGACTCGCTCCCATGCCCGGCATCCGACCTCCTAAATTCACTATTCGCCGCCTTCAAACAATCAGTACAATTCGATTGGCACATCAATCCCCACTATCACCTCCACCCAATCAAACCCCTTCTCAAACCATGGCCCTCATCCAATCAGAATACCAGACTAAAAGAAGTGATTCTCGCAAGACTCCGGATCGGCCACACGAAACTCACACATACCTATATTTTCGAGCAAACTCCGCCTCCTCTATGCCATCGATGTAATATAAGATATACAATCCAACATTTTCTTTTGCATTGCCCCCTATACGACGTTGAAAGACAACCGATGAAAAGATATACGATTACTAATCAACTTCCAATGACGCTCCCTACTCTTCTTGGTGATTCAAATCCAGACCTACTTGACCTTCTTTTCGTTTTTCTACACAATACTAAACTTGAACGATCCATATAGCAGTCTCGCGCTCAGTTCCGTGGTCGGCAAGCCGTCGATAGCGGTTCTGGGCGCGGGACTCCATCTTTTCTGATTTCCTGAAGAATTCGATACTGGCCATGTCAATTAAGGAGCCCCGAGCCTACGGGCATGCCGCCGCCGCGGGGACCATTGGCACGCGGCGGCGGGCTCCTCTGCCCCCCCAACTGCTTGGAGACAATAGAGGAGTCGGCACAATGCCGTCCGCAACGACCAGTCTATTTGGACTGCCACGTCACAGGAGCCTGAAACGTCCGTTCTCATCAAAATACCCAGCACTTGGTGGGGTTTTGTAGGAGCCCCGAGCTTACGGGCACCAGCCGCCGCCGCGGGGACCATTGGCACGCGGCGGCGGGCTCCTCCCCCCAACTCCTTGCACACGTGATTTTTCTTGGTTTCTCTTGGTTTTTTCTCATGTTTTCATCGTGATTGTCTTTGTTTCAATTGTTCTTGTTGCGCCGTGATTTCGTTTACGTTTGCGAGCGCGCGCGTTGCGTCCCTCCGGCGGCGGCGGCGGCAATCGGGACCTGCCCACCGTGGGCGGGTCTATCCCTAGCTATCTGGCCGGACACCCCGGGCGTGGCCTAGATGGCTTGCCATGCATGGCCCCCGGGAGTGGATGAAGGCGATAGCTCCACAAACACACTTACACATTAGCGATATAACGTAACGTAATATCAAAGCAAAGGGATTTTTCCTGTGCAATTTGGCAAAAGCGCACAGGTTTTGCCCTCTAAGATAGGCACCAGGTTTTTCTAGTTAGGACTTTCCTTGTGAAACTCACAACACAACAACAGCACACATTACAACACTACCACATTTCAGCATCAAGATACAGCAACAAGACATGTAAGTACTCAAAATCCTCTCGGTACTGCCACTCTGGCACCCTTTCTGGCTTTCCCTTGCACTTGCTTCCACCGGACGTCACATGAGCCGGTCTAACGTAAACTTTGCTCTTGATATTGCCTTGGGCCGGAATAACATAGCCGGCATTAAAGTAAAGTAAAACGGAAGATCTGGCTAATTGCCAGCTAGTAACTTCCCCCTACCCCGACCAGGGCCTCGGCCTGTCGGGAGCAAAATTCAAAAAAAAAAATGCCAGAGGAGATGTCACAGGGAAATGAAACTTGCAGGATCTAGTATCCATTATGAGTCCCACAACTTGTATATCTCGGATTTTTCCTAAAGGTCATATGAGGTCAGGTCATTTTCGTGACCTCACCATTATAAGTCAATGGGGAAAAATGAAAACTGCTATTCTGGCGCCGGGAACGATCTCCAACTATCTCAAGCACACAGAATCGTGATTTGATGTACTCCTTGCAAGGTTAGATGCATCACTTTTGCAATGTTGACCTTGCGTGACGTCATTTATGACGTCATCAAGGTCATATTAGTTTTTCGTCAATAACTCTTCATCAAATTGAGCTAGCGAGTCGGGAAAGCCACCAATGGACTCAGGAAGGCCTGCAGAATCGAATGACATGCAACATGACCTCTTTCGACCAACTTCGTGACCTCGGGGTGCTGACCTGACCTTGACCTGAGGTCAACACCCCAAGTTGACCTGACCCGGACAAAAAGTATATCATTCGACGCGCCTGGGCGAGGCGAACACGATGCTGCCAAAATCGGCGCTCTGCGGCCGTTTTTTGCAAAGTTATTCACCAAAAACTGAACCGTACCTTGGGGCACTTGACCTGACCTCAGAGGTCACCGGTTGACCTAGGACCTTAAAGTCGGGTACCAATCTCTGCGTCTCGTAACGGCGCACACGCTCGTTTTTTCCGCGACGCGCTAGCTCCACCAGGGGCGAAACGGCGAGGGGGGGGGGTCGTACCCGCCCCCCCCCCCCCCTCGGCCGGCGCGTATGTAGAAAACCAATAGGTCCGGCGAAGGTTAAAGGGACCCTCCCACCTTAACATTAGTTTTGAGTTGAGATAGCCAAGTTTGCGGCCAGGCTCAGAAACCACCATTTATCCTGGTCGCAACCCCCGCATCTTTATGGTGTTCAAGAAATACCGAGGGGGAGTCCATTCGACCCCCCCCCCCCCCCCCACAAACACACACACTATACAGGTGAAGGTTAGCCTATCTGTCGGGCATTGACCTTAGCTAATCCTGACATAGTTATATATAAACGTACATATGATCTCGGAGTTTTGAGCTTACCTCATCTTTGGCCTCTGCTCCCACACCTTACCATATGCTCTGACTTGAGATGTGACTAATGACCTGACCTTTCCCGGCAGCTGGATCACGAGCGGTCGTCGAGCAAGGACAAAGATGATGTGATAAAGCGTCAACAGGAGGAGATACAGCAGCAAAAGGAGAGGCAACAGGCTCTGATGAAAACCAAAGTGGCACTAGATGCGGAGGTATCTGCCTTTAACAAGCTGCTCGAGTCTAAGAATAACAAGTTAGTGCAGCCGCCGACGATGGGGTGAGCATTGCCATGTGTAGGTTGAGATTCACTTCCATGCACCTTTACCCATTTGTGTGTGGCCTATCCAGGGCTCCCTTTCTTTCTGCTGTCTCTATCTGTGCGTCTGTCTTGCAGTGGTCTTCAGCATCTTCTTTGCCTGTGTACATTTTTGATTTTTCAGTTTCTGTCTCTGTCTGTCTGTCTGTCTGTCTGTCTGTCTGTCTGTCTATCGGTCTGTCCGTCTGTCTCTCCCCCCTCTCTCTCTCTCCTCTATCTCCCCCTCTCTCTCTCTCCCCTCTCTCTCTGTCCAACCCTCCCTCCCCTCTGCAGGGTAGCGCTTGCTTAGTTAATGCTTATAGCGCTATGGCTATGCTTATTTAACGATTGATAGTTAGCAACAGATGACCGCTTCAATTAATCCTGACATCAATGGCTATGTTTTCAGCATAAAGAAGCTATGTTTCCCGCCGGGCCTGAGCGAGAAATCGCTGACGAACATCCTGCAGAATTCCGAGGGTATGGAGGAACTGACCGTGACTGCACCCTCCGACTCAACGGGGCAGTGGGTGCGACTACTTCCACCGTCTTTGGGAAGGCTGGACGTTTTCGGTGAGGTCCTGCAGAGAGAGGAACCGAATAAGTTCAATTCTGACTGGAGAGAAGGGAGCAGACAGTTGTAGCTGAAGATATATGTTTTATAATACCTAGCATCATTTGCAATATTTTTTAATAACGGTTTTAGCAAAGCATCCGATTTTTATCAAATTTCAATGGGGGTATCGTAGCCTTTCTCATGTATCAATTAGGCATTATCAGCATTACAGCAGATTTGTAGGTATATCAATTGCAGTCGTTTTGCACTCTACCTGCATTGTGTTACATTATATTTCAGATAAATTTCCTCAAATCATCATGTTGAGGTCAGAGGTCACCTTCATACTTTCCAAGTGCACAATTGAACAATTTATGTGTTTGTTTACAGATTATTATAGGTAAAGGTACTGACCAATAGCAATGCACCGCATAAGCACAGGCAATGCAAAACTGCTCAGCAGTCAAGTCGGCTGTGTTGGTGTCAGTGTCGGCTGTGTCAGGTATAAGTGTCGTCTATATCCGTGTTTGATACCATAATGTCAGCGGCCTCCCATCCCGGCGGCAGCTCCGTCCGACTGCAGTCAGCTGACACAGCTCTCTCTCCGACAGGACCGGGGGAGACGGGGAAGCCGCAGACTCTGGTAAGACGGCTCGACCATGGGCTAAATGTCGTCATACAAAGGGCGGGAGATGACGTCATCAACCAGCTGACCAAGGAGCTGGGACCACGGGTTACCAAGCTGACCATGTTCAGTGAGTGGCGGTGACACGGACGGGTTATCGGTATGAATGGTTAGGTATAGTGATGACACCGAGTAGTCGTGCATGGTAACACCGTCCCAGCAGAGGTGAACCGGGAACATATGCATGGGACAGGTCATGGGGGTACGTCAGAGTAGTGTGATGACAACGGTTTATATGACGATATCAGGAGTGGATATATCCACTCAAATATATTTGAATATGTCTTTCATGTACGATGCTGTTTGGTATTAGTTGTGTCGATTACATACCGTGCTATATTTCTGAAAAGTCATACATGGTGAGCAGTAGTGGCCGAACAGGGTATTGACATCGAGTAGTTAGATATAATGATAAACATTGAGTAACGATGCATGGTTGCACGATAGTGTAATAAATACCTATGTATTACATTACACTATGGTTGCACCATACCAGTAAATAAGGAACAATAGGCATATAGACTATGGACAGCATTGGCAATTACGTCACCAATGCGTATATGTTTGTATGTGTGTATGTGTGGTATGTTCGGTCATGTTAATACCGCTGACGACGTGTATGTCAATGGGTATGATGCCACTCACGATTAGTATGTGCGGAGTGGTGTGGTGACGTTTAGGGGACACGTATAAAAGTGATCAGCAGCACAGTTACTCACCAGCTATGTGAATATATCCACGGTGACTCTAAATGAATATATCCAGTTTCACTTACAATGCTATTGACTGTGCTGATAACGTATTTTGCTGTATGCGCATTGCGCAGCTGCTGTCAATATGCATAATGTCTGTCATTTCCCACACCATTCACCTACCATGTCTGTATGTGCCTGTGTTTCCCAGACTGCCTGCGTGTCACTGCCGGGGCCCTACAGAGGCTGCTGTCCGCCCTCACCGGCCTGGAAGACGTCACACTTGACGACACTCTGTCCGGCGCCATCACTGACGCCTCACTGGCCGCCCTCCACGGCTGCTCCCAGCTGCGTAAGATACAGCTGGGAGCGCCCAGTGAACTCTGTACGGATATACCGGTCACGGCGGTCAGCAGGTCAGTTAGCTAACACACAGACCAGACCAGACACAGATCATACACAGACACAGACCAGACCAGACCAGACTCAGACCAGACGAGACCAGACCAGACCAGACAGACCAGACCAGAGTCCAGACACAGACCAGACCACACCCAGACCACACCCAGATCAGACCCAGACCAGACCAGACCAACACAAATAGCAATGCCTGTGTGTATGTAGAGCCATGTATTTTATTTTGCCTATGACCGAAGCACTTGTTTCACGTATAACACGCGCACCGACGGGGGGGGGGCGGATATCCGCCCCCCCCCCCTGAGGTTTTTCGCGGATAGCGGGAAAACCGCGGCGGAAATTTGGTACGACTATTCTCTCATCAATTTTACACATGGTGTGCAAGTTTGAACCTCCTAACTTTTAAGGTCAGGCCACCAGGTCACTTTGAATGACCCAACCTCAAGTCACTTTTTTGCAACTTTGTCACCGTGCCAGAGCTACAGTAGATGTCGGAGGCCTTTGAAAGTCGCAGGATGTTATTAGGTCATTAGTAGCTACAATTCGTTTATCTCGGAATTTTGATATCGGTGACCTAAGGTCAGGTCAATTTCGCGACCTCCCCATTATAAGTCAATGGGGGGAAAAATAAACTCCCTGTTTTACCACTAAAACGGGTCGGAATGGCCCCATATACCATACATGACTTCATATACGATCAACCTTCACTACCTTGAGGTCTGTTTTGCTGTTGGGCAGCTGTAAGGTCATGTGACGTCATCAAAGGTCACCAAAGGTTTTTTGCCAATAACTCCTTACAGGAACAAGATACAGCCGCGCGGATGATCTCATTGTGTTCAGCTCGTCAAGACGCATCGAATGATATACATGATGACCTAGAGGTCACGTGACCTGAGGTCAACCTTTGGCCTTAACCTTTCGAAGTCAACATATATGTCATTCGATGCGGATTGACGAGAGGATCACGATGATGCCCTTAGTTTGTTCCTATCTTGACTAATTCGAAAGTTATTCGAGAAAAACTCTCTCCATATCTAGCGCCGCCATTTTGACTTTTTCGACCCCTGTGACGTCATCTTTGACCTGACCTGAAAATGACCTTTGTAAAAATTGTAGACCTTGTCCGTGCGTATCCGATGCCGTTTACCGCTTGTCGCTATCTTGCTTCGTTCTCGAGATCTCAAGGGGATGGTCATCCGCCCCCCCCCCCGTCGGTGCGAAGTTGGCGCAGACCCCCGTCGGTGCGCGGGTTAAATTTACACAGCAAAACCATTTATTGCATACATTTACATACCCAGGCCATACTTTGTAGTATCAATACATCATTATGCAGAGTTCTATTGTTGTATCCATTACGTGCACACTGCACAATGCTATAATCATCCATGTGTATAATTGCATGTAATATTATATCAGCTAGCACACTGTCTACCGCATCGACCCCAGTCTCAGACCGGACCCGAACGCCGAACCCCAACCGGACCGGACCTGACTTGAACTGGCCCTGTGGAGACCGGACCCGTCCCCTCCAGACGGCCGGTCGGCCGGCTGGTGTCGCTGACTGGCCTGTGTCCTGTTGTGTCGCAGACTGGTGGTTACCTGTCGGAGACTGGAGCAGCTGTTTCTTTTAACAACGGATGAGCTCAGTCAGACGGTCCTGGACGCCCTGGTCCAGGCAGACCTGGGGGAAAAGGATGACGGCAGACAGAGAACACTGTGGTTCATCGTCCCAGGGAGAACACTGTGGTTCATCGTCCCAGGTGAGTGACGGCGCCGCCCAGCGCCTCTGATCAGTCCCACAACAGACGGCACGGCGCCACCGGCCTCTAGGAGCCGCTGTCGTACACCCTCTCAACGGGTCGAGATGAGCACATGACGCTGATATGACGCCACAACTGATATAAACTGATAGTGATGCCATTCATATGTATATGAGTATAACCTCATCTGTGGCGTGAATGGTTGTTCGAGCATGGACAATACCAAGCACTTTATTGATAGGTTAGCTAGTATAGTAAGATGACGTCAATCGTATTTAGGTAGCTAATTGGTATGGCTTGAGCTCTGACACGGTGTGTGGTATGAATTGATGTTATTGACATGTTCACCTTACTGTGGTCTTCACTGTTTATTTGTGCAGCTCTGTGTATAAGGTATGTATGTATAGCGTGCAAGTGTGTGGTGGCAACTGCTAGTCATGTGAATTCCGGTTACGGTCGTACTTCTGCATTTATAGTTACTGCATGGAACATCGGGCACGCAACCGGTCTTGTGCTGTTTGCGCCATTGTGAGGCGTCACATCAGAAGTCCGAACTTATGATGTGTAATGTCTTGTTTTGTTTTTGTTAGGTTAGGCTCTTTCGGTCAAACGAGACATTTCAGAGCCGGAAAGATTATAGGAATTATGGGGAGGCATTGGTCTGGGCAGGCACCCTGGTGACCCGCCGGGGCTGAGCCCATCACATGGACAGACCACCCAGCCCCATAACAGCCACCGCACCCGGCTACGAGCTGCTCCTAGGGGAGCTACCCGCACGAGATAAAGGCCTTGGGGATAAAGTTTATCCAGCCCGGAACAGGTGGCGGAGGAGGGAGGATAAGGATTTGACTACCTTGAGGATGGTTACGACGGAATGAAGTGTAGGCCTATATGTAACGTCACATTAAAAACAAGGCGTATGAGTTGTTATGCCGTGTAACCTTTCTTTTCGTTGTCTTATCCACAGTAGCCATTTATGTCAAACTGAGCAAACCGTCTAATACCGGCAACATCAAGGTTACGTGGAACCCCGAATACTAGATGGGATTATCACTTATAACGACTCGCCGACACCTACAGCGGTATCAGCGGTGATCATTCTCGGTGAGTACACCAGGTGGCAGCACCTTTGAGCTAGGTGGCAGCACCAGCGTATTTCCCCACAGGATGACAGCAGGTGTAGCACCTTGCAGTTGCAGGACGATGAACAGATAGTATAGACCATTTGACGTAACATTATGTCCCCAATTTTGCACCTGAGTGCTTGGTCGTTGGCTTCTTGCTACCCATAACTTAGAAAGGTGAGCGGAATGCAAATAAATATAGGTATCTCACGCTCACTATTTAGCGGCATGGACTTGCAGGTCATATCCCGAAGTGCAGATATCCTAGCGTGCCAATCCAGTGACGTAATACTGCTCCATTTCTTGGTAGCATCCAACATGAGAGTGCTTATGTGAAACATCTCTATGAATGGAGACAAATGGTCCGAAATTACTTGGATAGGTTTGGTTATGTTATACCTTTTCAGGGTGATCCTCATTTCAGACTGGATGTCATTGTAGGCAAGGTGCTGAAACATACACCATAGCAGAATTTAGTCCAGTCCAAACTACTAGACGTATAATGACGTCATACATACTCCGCCCGGCAGGCTTGTTCACCCTCGCATGACAAGACGCCGAGGTGACGGACAAATGGGACGACAGTCTGCCGGGCTTCATCACCAACTGGGAGCTGGTGAAGCTGCGCTCCTTCAGCACCAGCGTGCACCGGGTGAACACGGTGGGGTCGAATATAACGCCTGCTTGTTCTTACTATGCTGCTTCTGCTAATGTGTTTTCTGTATC